GCGTGGACTACAAGTGTTTCAGTGCTGCGCGGGGGTGCAGGGGGATTACCCAATAGCGATAGCCTTAGAGGGCGAAGCCATATACGAAATAAAACCAGTACGGTAATAGCCTTTCAGTTCCCCCAAACAATTTGTATTGAAATAAATCAACCTGGAACCAGTAATCACTAACTTTGTTTCCCCCGGCCCCTTATCGGAGAACACCCAGCTAGTAACCTAGCAACCAAGCTTCAGCTAGCGGCAGTCAGAAACTCATGTCTCTTCGAATCTACTTACAAATAAATATGGGGAAGTGTAAGTTCAACCGTATTTGGTTGGAAAACATCGAATTTAGTGCTTGGTTGAAACCAGTGGAGGGGAACGTGTTTGAAGCCCGCTGCACCTTTTGCAAAATAAATTAGCGTTTGTTTTGCTAATGTAGCGTTAGCTAGTGCAGCAGCTCCCGCAACAACACCGGGGGACCTCCGGCGACGTCAGCCCGAAAAGCGGAGGTGATGCTAAATACAGTAGTTACTGTAAACACCAATCATACAACGGCAACAATGAAAGATTGTAGCCAAGGCAGCAGAGCTCTGAATATAGCTATTGTTACTCTCTCTATCACACACACACACACACACACACACACACACACACACACACACACACACACACACACACACACTAGGGCTGCTCGAAAATGGCAAAAATCATAATCACGATTATATTTGGTCAATAATTGATATCACGATTATTAAATAATTTGAACAGTATCTTAACTGTTGATTACCCTGAATGTATAATTCAACTGAAAAACCAATACAAAAATAAATTAAATAACTTACATTTTTAAATAAATAATATCAAAATAATAAATACCAATAAACAGATCAACAAATGTTTTGGAGCGCATTTCCACAAGCTACTAAACATAAATAAATATGATAAATAAATGAGACTAAAATGAATTAGATCAAATGTGTTGTAGTGCACTGTCACAACCTAGCAAAGCTAAATAATAGTTTTTTTTCGATTATGTTGTTTTTGTAATTGTGGCAGGCCAAAATCGTAATTGCGATTTAAAATATGATTAATTGCACAGCCCTAACACGCACACAGACACACACACTTTTTGGCACAGTTCTATGCTGTTATGTTCAGTTATTGTTCTTATGTTGAACATGAATTAATTTACTTTGTAAGTAATTATGGGACGTATTTCTCCTTTCATAGCAATTTTCCTTCATACTTTCTTGCCGTGAAATAGGTCTTGAATTCTATTCAAAGTGGTCTTAAAAAGTCTTAAATTTGAGTTGGCGAAACCTGCAGGAACCCTGTATATACTTTTCCAGATCTTGCTACACACGTGGGGTCACTGGCTTTGCTCTACCCTGCCAAGTCTCAAAGTCTGAGGGATGAGAGTATAGTGCAAGGGCTAACTTGAAGTCAGTCAGATCTTACTTTGGGCAGAGTTTAGGTTCTCAATATGGTGAATTTGGAACAAGTAAACATGCAGGAAAAAATATTCATGGTACTGCTCTGACGGGGACTTAGCGGTTTAGCTGTTTCCCCTCCCTACTGATGTTCCCTGAGTTGAGTTATGGTGACAGTTTGACGCATACATCCAGACCTTCCCCTCAGAACAAACCGCTGCAGTCAGCTGTACATATACTGTACATGGCCTGCTCTTGATATACTGTGCTAACATGCTCTATTCTTTCTTTCCACAGAGCTCCACCAAAAGACAAGAAATGATGTTTGGAGGAAGGCGGGAACTGATGACTATTTTCAACCACCATCTACTTTTTCTACTTGTCCCTTGCCCTATATCTGCCTGTCATGTCATGAGGGTTGGATTCAGAGGGAATCCCTTTTTTTTTTAGTTAACTGATGCCAGCTTCCAGCTGTTGGAGTCGTTGTATTACTGATAAGGTTGGGAGCACATTGTATAACTTGGAGACCATTTAGCCCGGGACTGTGATCTGAGTTGATGGCACTATTGGAACAAGTCATGTCAGTTGTTTGTAGGTTTTATAAAATGTAAATGTTAATGTCTAGCTGGACCACCCTTATTACACCAGGACGATAGGGACGATGTGTTAAATATCCTATGTGTTGGGGATACTTAATTCATCTGTGAACAATGTCCTACTCTTACCATGTGTATTTAAGCAGACAGGATAAACTGTTAAACCTAAAGCTTTGTAAAAAACTTGTGTGCAGTTACGCCAGTTTGCATATCTACTGCATGGTTTGACTTTGGCTCCAGTGAGGTTTTTTTTGTTGCCAACGATTTTTATTTCAATATGTTATCACTTTTCTTAGCTCCGGAGTCTTTTCTTACTGAAGGTCCTTTTCTTAATGACATGTTTTGGCTGGTCCCTTGCTCTTCTCATAACGGCCCTTATCAGGGTGCTTCTGATTCCAGACAGTACAATCCTGTATAGGTAGGCACATCCCACTCATACTGGCTACTATATTTAGTGTTAAATAATAATCTGTCAGATTTTACGTATGGTAAAATAAAATGGTCTTATGTTGTGTGATCAATACCGTTACTTTGTGGGTAAAGATCCCTTAATGCTGATCTGTTGACTGGCGAGGTTGTAAACTTGACCCTGCGTGTACAGACATATATAGATGGTGACCTTTTCACATAAACTTGTAATTTGATAAAAGTATCGCTTTTGTGTTGGAGGAAGGAGCAGAAGGATGTAACTTGAAACAATGTATGCTTTGAACAGTTTATATATTTTGACATAAACGGCAACTTTGTTTTAATAAAATGTTTATGATTGTTTTTCTTGATTGGTAATCTTTGACTAAATGACCATGTATAGCTACAAACATAATGGGAAATGTTACTTTTACTCTGTATATAAACTATTTATCCAAACATTCATGAAAATATCCTACGTCTACCATTACTGCACACATTTCCAAAAGCGTCTTGTCAGTTCATTGTTGGTCCCGCAGCAGCGTCTCCACCGGTCTCCACTCGGCCAGATGTCCATACTGGTATCTGTAAACTGGATTTAGGACTCAAAATTTAAATTCTGACAGTGCTGCAGACGTCTTGGTTAAATTTAGCATTGCGGGATGTCCATTCAATGTTAACTGCCTGCACGGTTTGTACATGGATGAATCGGCAGGAATTCGGGTAGCTCGTTTTTGCTACTAACACGGTTAAACTGATGTAAAGCCGCGTTTGGAAGTAAAGTTTTGTGACTCGACGGCAGATTTGTTTTGGCAGCCATTTTGTGGGAAATGTCTCTGGAACGCGCTGGGCCGTACTTGCCTTGTGTCGGGAGTGCGCTCTCAATGCAGCCCCTCTCCTTTGACCGATATTAACATCACAGAGGGGCTGGCCAGCAAAGAGCTAGCTGTAGCTGTGCCTGCTAAAATATATTTAGTTCTTCATAGTCTGCCTGTATTTTCCAGCGGCCAATCGGCTGGCCGTTGCCCGCCAAGCAGCCTGCAGTGTGCGGACTGTCTTCCTCCAAATTCCAATGGCAGTATTATATTAGACAGCTAGCACGCTAGCTAATAGCTAGCTAATGTTAGCGTCTTGCCTTTAAATTAATTTAAATAGCTGACGGGCTTGTATATCCAGGCCCACGCTTTATGGTAGCATCTTGTATATCTGAGAATCAATCTTGAACGAGTGAATGAAGTTTGTCGGATAGAAGAAGACTGAGTTCGAGGTGTCCGTGGTGGAGGCTGCGGGCTGCCCACCTCCCCTTAGGCACGGCTAGCCGTGCTGCGCCGGCAATCAGTCCGACAACCCGCTCTCTGAGCTCCGGAGAATAACCACATTTTACTCGGAATTAATCTCACCGGGATTTAATCGGTTGATAATTCTACGATACATTATTTGGATTTCTGCTGTGGAAGAGGTACGACTGACCCGGGGGAGGGGGCTCGGTTCGTGCGGACGGAGGGAGATAGGGTTTCCGAACATGGCTGCTACGCGGAACTTGGTTCGACACACTGCCTGAGGTAAGGAATTGCCGGTCGGCGTTTTCTTTTTTTGTTATTAATCTATGAATTTGGAGTTAGTTGATTATTGTCTTGAATCTATATGTTAGAGGCGTGACAGTCACATAGTGGTAACAGCTTCATGTAGCATTATGTTACCCCTTCATACGTTTTTCGCCCCTGTCACCCGGCCTCGTGTCCCCATTCCTCTGGTACTCCAGAGGCTGGTGGGGCAGTAGGCAGGCTTCGGTGAAATAGATGTGTTAACGTCGGTGCTGGACAATGATGATCGTGTTGAACAATTAAGGCTTGGCTGCCTTAGCTACAGTAGCTGAGCCGTGCATTATGGTGATGGACTACATAACGTTACCCCGTTTTGGGAACATGCAATGTCCTCCAAGTCTAACGTTATGCCATCAGCCCCCTGCCCTTCTAATTCATCTCATGACGGTCGTTTGTAACAGCTAACCATCTGCCGAGTTCAGTAAGTCTTGGGTTGGTCATAAAGGGGTGTGTGTGAGTATGTGTGAGTGTGGTGCGCGGTGCGCGCGCTTCAGTAGCAGCGGTATCGCGACCTGCTCTGAGTTAATGCACGACACCAGGTAGAAAGGCATGATGCCGGTTGACTATAAGGTAGAGATGTGGGGGGGGGGGGGGGGGTGAATGTATTGTTACATATTGGAGACGTATTGATGGCCTCTAGTATACAATATATGGTCATACCCTGATGTGGGGTGGATGGGAAGCCAGCAACCCCCGAATGTCCTCTGCAGATCTGCAGCAATCACCTGCTATAGCTGCTAACGCTAGCCTCTAGCTTAGCTACTGCATCAGCCCCAGCCCCTACCCTGCCCTGGAGTAGGGGGGCACAGGCATCAGTTGCCGGGAGATGGCTGCTCCTAGGGAAGCAACAGGACCAGGATGAGAGCAGTGCAGATACGCACCTGGAACCATCTCGACATCTCCCCTCTTTCTTTCGATATGGTTCCTTGGTCGTTTTTCTGTTGATGCACGACAGAAGATGTAGTGGTCGTTACTAATTAAAATAAGTATGATTGTCACAAATTATGCCCCCCACTCCGCCAAACTTGAGGTTACTATCTCTAGTCTCAAATGTGATATTTCTTCCTGACCACTTCTATGTCTTGGTAGCATTAAACCAATAAAATGCATGGTTGTTTGGCCATTTGTCCAAGTCTATCTTAAAGGCCATTCATAGGGCATAATGGACATTTGAAAAGCGATAAATGACACCTCTCAGGTTGAGGCTATTGTCAGAAACGTCATTGACCAGTTGGGACATGCTTCCTCTCTATATGAGGATTTGACATGTAATCCAGGCAATTGCCGTTCTATTGAGATACACAGATATACACTATATATACATTTTTTTTAGCATGCACACCAGAGATCGAAATAGGTCTGAATGTTGCCTGATTATTTCTTATAGTTTGTTCTGCACGATCACAGATGATACAATGAAACATTGAGTTTTGCTGACTGAGCTCTGCTCATAATGAACTTTGTTCTCACTGATCTGCTGTTTAGTCACATTCAATCACTAGTAAGTACTGGTAAAAGTGGGAGAAGTACCTTTGCCTATAGCCAGGTATTGGCAGTGTGCCACAACAACTTAACCATTACCCCAACCGTAAGCATGTATACATTGAGGAAATTGTAGGAAAGTAGCTTTCACCGTAGAGGAGGGCCATCTAGGAGTGGCCTGTGTAAGGGCCATGCCTAGAGACCACGCTAACTCCAAGAAACTGCCTCATCTCACTAACACAATGTTAAGTAAACTGTTGGCTTGAATTGACTGCTGGAGGGGTTTTACAGTCTGTGTCTTTTGACCCTTGAAAAGCAAGTGGACTTGTGTTCCGACTGTGCGAATGTCACAGCTTCGACACACCAATTTCAACCTTTTCTAGACTCATTACAAAACTTTCCAAGAACTCAGGCGTCGCTTATTTGTCTCATCACCCTCTACTTTCTCTCATTGTTCTGTTCATATCTGTTTTCTCTCTTTACAGATGAGGAATTAACACTATTACCCATAATGAAACTTTTTTAACTCTTTGCTTCAGCTAGTGTTGCCTTTATTTGCCTTTTGTTCACATCTGTCCACTGACTTTACATGCATTTTACATGATATTGATCATGTCGTATAATGCACCACTAAATGACACCATCAGCACATTTCATCTGGAAATTGTGGTTTGTGGCTGACCAAGGCTGGTGGAGGATGTCAGTACAACCATGTTCATACATATGCTTTTTATTATAAAAATAAAAATCGATTACATTTAAAGCAAGTTAACAACCACAATTCCTCAAAACACCCCCTTTAGTCAAAAGGGGTTGTCAACAGTTTCCATTTTTCAGGGTGTACAATTAAACACATTTGAAAATGGATAACAATTTTAAATGAATGTGAATTTTTTATATATATCATAATATACATCAGTGGTTCAGTTCAACTGTCAACATTTCTGGGAACATTTCAATGTCCCGGACAAATGGAACAAATTGTGGTCAAATATTATCTAGGTTTATCCTTCCAGAGCTGGAATGATGCTCCAGGACTTCTGTATAGATATTGCCAGTTGTACAATGGTGCAGAGTACAATGGGGGCTGTAATAAATCTGGAATATTGAATCATTAATGTAAGGGCTTGCTTTGTATATATGCTTGTATTTATATTTGCAATTCTAATAATATTAACATTTAGCAACAAAACTACAATATTACAAATTGTAAATAATACAAAATTGCAAAACTGCCGAAAGTAGAAATTTGGTGTTGGAAGAGTTTCTAAAATGATAACTGTTTGTCTCACACAATTCAATTTGGACATCTATAAATGTTCATATTAAATGGGCTATTGAGTTTTTATAATAAATTGATCTTTTGTATTTTTTTTCTGTCTTGATCAATTCATTATGACTAATCATTGATCTGAACATTTTTTGAAAATTGAGGGAAATGTCACCATTTCCTAATGACATCAACAGTTGGTTCAAAACTGACATCAGTTTAGTACATCTCTTAAAGCTGAATGAAATGTTTGGCATTTTTGCTAGATAAAAAATAAACAATTAATTATTTAAAATAAGCTTTTTTTATGTTGATGTATTTTTTGGCAAATTGTTTATGTTTTAAATACAATTAGTTATGCCTCAATCATTAAGACTATTGGCTTTGCCCAGCCCTATCCTAAAAATTATTAATCAATACATAAAAAACATCAGAAAAGTGTTTAGTCAGGGAGGGTGGGATTCTGCAGCTCCTGGCAGGAATCTGAAAGGGTTAAAAGGCTAATAAAGTAAAGAGCCCTAAATGGTACGGATTGAGCTGTTAGGCCTCACCATGAAGCAGCTGCTGTCTGAGACCTCAACTTGCATTTAAAGTCCATCTTTGTCTTGACATTTTATCTGCATCAGCCTCATCTGGAGGGGTCTAGTTTATATACAAAATGTCTGCTCTTTTTGTGGTTTATAATTCTGTGCTCTATAAACAATATATCAATAAACACTTTGGTTGTATAGAATAGATATATACATCGAATGCATTTTTCATTTATACTCTGTGTTCCCTTGTATATTTGCCATTCAGAGTGACAGACAAATTAAGAATTAAGAATTTAATTGTCCTTATGACAGTAAATGCTTTGACTTGGCATTAATGCTGAATGACATGTTAAAAACACTCGGATCGCAACTGACAGCTGATGCACTAAGAACCAATATCGTGCTGGAAGTAGGGGGTCCTGGTCCTTCCTGCAGAATGCGAGAACACAGTGACTCCACGGAAACAACGATGTC